TGTTGGCCCGAGGTGAAGGGGGTAGTGTTTTGAACTGTTGCCTAAGGTCGTAGGCCGAGGGCAACAGTTCAAAACACTATCCCCGACAACGAGGAACAACTGTTTGAGTGTTCCCAAACCACGTATGAAATAACTGTTTTATTACCTGATCAACTACTGTTTTAATAGTACTTGCAGAAGAAAAAAGGAACGAGAAAATAATTTTGCACATGTTAATATAGGGTTAACGCACGTTTTTCCGTGTTATAACGTCTGCAGAGTCCCGAGGAACGGTTGGTGCCCGAGCCCGGTAGGGCGAGGGCTCCAACAGTTCCGAGGGACTCTGCAGACTTTATAACACGAAATAAACGTGCGTTGACGCTATTATAGCATAAAATTTTCAAACAAATTCGTGATGTATAGTTTATACAAAACACAATTACATTAAATTCTTGTGCTTGGACGGTATTTATCCAATTCTATGTTTTACGTATCCGTTTCATTTTTCCGGGGCCAACAACTTAGAAAATTCTCGGAACCGAACGAAATTTTGAAATTTAATTGATTTAACAAAGCTTGGCCTTTGGAGATTTATTATCTCAAGAAAAAAATAAAACGTTACATTACTCTACCCTCTACCCAAGACAAAACATGACCCTCAGAAATTCTTAGAATGATTTCAGATTGACGGTAGAAAAAAGATCAGTGACATCAGAATCGGTTTTTTTTTCAAGCAAACAAGTTTATAAAAAAATCAGGCACTAAGCATTATTCTCTCAAAGAAATATAATGAAAATTTATCAACATTAACATAAATAAAAACATTTTCTCATATTAATTTTGTGTTATCTAGTTTTGTTAGTTAATCGGAGTGTTAAACTGAACGACAGGTAGATTCTACTGTATTTGTTTACATTGAAAACTGTCCGTTTCTTAGAAAGGGCGACAACCAAGATTAGCACCGATGTCTATACGCCGTTTTTCCGGCATAGTTACTTGAATATACGACTGAGGCCCTCGAATCAATAAATTTCAATATAACAAGAGCGCATAACTCTTTGGCAAACAGGCCAAATCGTCATTTTTGTTTGTTTGTTTACTGGGCCCTGTATTTATTGCGCATAGGTGAAACCGGGCTATAACAAGAGCGCGTGACTATGTTAACACATGGTTTTGGTCCCGTTATAACATGGGCAAAAGAGGGAAAAATAGCCGATTTTATGCTATAATAATTAAACGTTATAGATCTACTTTAACTATGCCACGTAACATCTGGTTTATGATCAAGATCGATGGACGCTGCAAGTGGGAATCCTCTATGACGTCAATGACGTCAATGCACGCGAGGGAAACAGTCGAAACTATTGACCGGTCAACAGTTCGCGAACGCGGACGGTTTTAGAATTTTAGAAAACAGTAAAAAATACCGAATTACATTGATATAAGGTATCAGGTAATAACATTGAATGATAATAACAACCGCAAGTTATACAACATTTCTATTGAACATTAAAAGTATACATATTTATGTATAACATAATTGAGATCAATAAAGATGGCTGTGACTATAAAAAGGATTGGAGCACCACACTAAATACCGTATTCCGGTATATACCGGACAGGGCGCTTGAATGATAAAATGCTAAAATCTTGTATTTTTACCCAACGGAATGAACTTTAACAGGTCTAATTCATCTTTTCACACCGAATCAAGTACGATAATCAAGGAAAAATGTAAAATTCGGCGAAAAAAACGATATTTGTCTATTTTGTGATCATGATTTCTGCAAGCGTCTAGAGGTACTGCTCCAATCCTGTATTGAGCTAAATCCAATAAAGATACTGTCTTTTGGTGAGTAGTAATATTCAAGATCTACGGACAGAAAATTGTCTTCTCTCGAAGCAAACCTCGAATAAAATCACGGAAATATTATTCATATTTCAAAAGAAATTTATTCCTATTTCATTACCGCCAACACTCAACCAAATTAGGGTAGTTTATCTTTAAAACCTCACAAGCTTGAAATATGTACTTCGGGAAATCTGTTGTTTACGGGTTTACGGTTATTATTAAGAGATTTATACACGACAGAGTAGGGCCGGAAGGTGATAATCGACCCTTAAAAATGAATAATGGCCCCGAGGGCTTAAGCCCGAGGGTATTTTTCATTTCAGGGCCGATTATCTCCTTCTGGCATAACTATGACGTGTATTCATGTCTTTAATACACTTGGTAGATTTAATAATAAAATAAATACTTTGAAACTTATTTCGTAGACATTCCTGCTTTTCTACTGTAGACTCTACTGTTCAGTTCCGTAACTTCTACAGAGTTGTTTACTTTTTGTGTGTTAAAAAAACACTACTGTAGGATCTAGCAGCAAGTTTTATTTTATTTTTTTTTCAGAATGAATTTGTCGTATCATTTCTTTAAATTTCAATGGTAATAAAACTATGTTTGTACAAAATACGCTTAATTTCTTATAATAAAATCAAGCGATTAGTGCTTAAAACCTACTTTCACTTTTACAGTTAACTGTTTGATGACGTAAAATATGACGTCATTATTTCAGTTTGTGCACGTGCACATGTTCAGCGGGCTGATAACTAGTTCTCGGTCCCGGGCCGCAAACTCATAATAGGTCACGTGACACTCATAATCAGTTGAAATCAGAGGCGATTTTGTTACTATATATAGTAACAAGTGTATTAAGTAGGATTATCCCTATCGATCACGTCTTACCATTTCCCGAAAATCGAAGCGTCAGTTCTATGAATTGTATTATAAATAGCTTGTTTTGAAAATTTTCTTAGAAAAAAAAAAGGCATTATCTGTGGTAATTTTTCAAGTGTTGTAAAATGAATACGAAATTCCTCTCATGCCGCCGATTATTTTTAGAACGCTAATATATAAGTTCAGCGGCAAAAATCGTTTTCAATTTAAAGTTTCCTAAAATATGTTGATGAATTCCCAATGCTCGACTGTTAGTCATCTGTATATACATGCGTTTTACTTTGTTTATTTTTTATAAAAGCTTCTTATTTTTAAAATTTTTAATTTATTTATCTGTATCGAAAATTTGAATTTGATAACACATGGACTATCAAATTATGATGCGTTGCCATAGAATTGAATAAAGTTTCTTATTACACAATACGGGGCAATTTTTTTATTAAAGACTGATCCTTGCGTCTTTCTCTGAAAAAACAACAACTATTTCCTTGTTCTGTTTTGGTAAGTAAAATTATATTTGACATCATCTGACTTTCTGTCATTTAACTGTTCGCTACTTCCGAAATTTGCTGAAATTTTGTAGGAATGTTCTTACGGCTTTTATAGTTAAATAGTGTATTTTTTCCGGCGAAAATTGTTCATGAATATAATGTTTTCAAACTTTATGTTCATCACCATCAGTGAATTCTTAGTTAAATATATGCAAACTATTTACTAGCAGCTATATGATATAGCGTTTTTTTGTGTGCGTTTTCCGCGTACAGCCTCCTAGGGTGTAGTAATAATTAGTAAGTTTCCATAAGTTATTACGCAGGCATGATGTAAGCGACAGTTAATCATTATTTGTCTTTTTAAAGAAAAAGTATTTAAGGACTACTAATGGTTTATAACAACAAAAGAACATTCATGATAGTAAGACTACAATGTTCTCTTACAATAGTCAAACTGGCAACGTTCTAGTTAATGACCCGTCATGCGCAGTTGGTCGCTGCGTAGTAATTGGAAAATTGTTTAAAAAAAACAACAATATTTTCCCAAATAATTTAAACATTTATTCAGTACTTTACAATAATGCGTTTTGTTTTTAATTTTTCTGATATAGCAGTAAAAAGTATAAGGGTTTAAATATTAGAACTATTTATGACTGATGCACGACCGATTTACCGCCGCAGTAAACGTGAGTAGTGATTTTAAAATTTCCAAAACGTTTAAACCAAGCGTTTCTCTGAGAATTATAAGATTTAATAATAGCAAGTATGATGATAAAGAACGTGTTAGAACAAAAACTTGTTTTAACTTGTAAATAACGTTGATAAGTGATAAGTCAGCTTCAAAGTATCACTATACTAGTTTTATACCTGATTACCGCGGCAGTAAGATTTGATGAACGGTCTTAACATTGGGCTTAACAAATTGCGTCTACATGTTAAGCTTAAATGGCCTCCATATGTTTATATATATTCAATTGCGACATTTTGAACGATGAGCAGAAAGTTACTCTGGTAATATCAGATTAGCTCTATTTCCGTTAATATGCATTTATATCAAGGTAAGTGCATGTAGATCGAATTAAGTAAAGTAGATAATATTTTGTCATTTCATTATAATCAGATGTGTGTTGTTGTTGTATTTTTTTTCTTTAAGATTATATTAAAACTATAATTGTAGTTAATGCAATAATCATGACAATAACGAAATACGGCGTCATTTTAAAATGTTGGCAATATCTTAATGCAAGGTGTATTTCTAGTTAAAACGATATATATATCTATTAAATTTATTATGAATATATGAATATTGTGGGTAAACTTGCAGCAAGAAACAACAACGCCTTGCATTTCAATTTACAAAATTTTCTGCGGTTATGAAAAAAAACATACATGTATACATCTGCTCTGACTCGTGGTTATTATTTGTTAAAAAAGCGAGTGTAAAAATTGAATGTGACCTCAAATGACACAAGATTGTAAAAATCAAAATTTTCTCCTAGAAGATCTCAAATCACATATTTTAGGCGTTATTAAATCAGCTTTGCTGTGCATTTAAAATGTATCTGCATTCAAAAACCTAGCCGGATCTTGTTTTTTATCTGCTTTATTTATTCGTTTATTTTGTATTATCTTATCGCACACGTTTGGCACTTTCACAGAAGATAGTACAGTATCTAGGAAAAAAATTATTTTCTAAGAAAGAAATAGTGTTTTGATGTAAACGTTCTTCTACAGATATTTGCACGCTTATATAAAAATAGGTGAAGGTAAATTTCGTTTGCATGCAGACGTTTGTCTGGAACTATCATATTATAAAGCTGGGGCTTTCTTTCTCAGCTACGCAGAATACAATTTACAGCAAGTGAAAAAGGCCATATATCTGTGAACGAAAAAATTTAAAATGGATAAAATAAAACTTGTCATTGTCATTGTTACAATTATTGTTAATGGAACAAATTGTGACACGGACTGTGATTGTAAATCTATCATGGAGCTACAAGAATATATGCAGAAAGAGATTTTTCAAAATAAGTTCGAGATTTCAAAAATGAACTCCCGGCTTAGGAGATTAGAAGCTTCAAAGAGGCATTTGTCAGAACCAAACAACAAGGCATCAAGTCAAGGTAATCTATTATTGCCTTCATTTTATTGTAACATAAAAATATTGTCTGCCATGATTCATGTCTTTGTATGTACCCGTGAATATAAAAATAGGAACGTTTGTCTGTCTGTTCGTGCGAGGTGAGCCTCAAACTGGATATATATTAAGTTCTATTTGTACTTATGGTTTCATAATTTACTCAGATATATTGTATTTAAACGTGGTATGCAACAAGCTTCTAGTAATATGAAGAGCTCGGTTGGGATAACTGTTGGATCCCCTGAGCAAAAGTCACTGTAACTTCAAATATAAAAATAGTCCGGTCAGCAATGAGATATTGTAATCGAACTTGATTCTGCCCATCGTTTTCTCGTTAAGGGCACACGCTTTCTATTACTTGGGGACAATACACCGCTTTTCATGGAATGGCACTACTGTGCCACATTGAAGGCTCCATGATAATCACCGTATGAACACATCTGCGGATGTTTCTAAATTCAAAATAATACCACTTCATGTTAAAATGTTGAATTCGGCTTAAGCCGGTGCTAGGGGGCGTGGACGGTAGTTTGCACTTTACGGTATCGTCCATGAACAGGCTCAATCAAACCGAGCCTGCAACAGTTTCAATTTTGTCGTTTTGGGCTTTCTTTAGGGAGTTTTATTTTCTCTATTTGGTATATAATAACCTTATATGATGAACCGACCGCCTCCGTGGTCGAGGGGTTAAAGTCGATAACTTCTTATCCAGTTACCTCTCTGGCGTGGGTAGTTTAGCGCAGAGGAAGGTAGTCTAGTACTGGTGATACTCTCCAGGAACGATGGTTAGGAAACTACCCGCCTTTATGACTGAAATTCTGTTGGAAAAAGGCGTAAAATTAACAAACAAACAAACAAATTATATGATGAACCCGGTATGGTAAAAAGTAATCATATGCATAGACCTCTGTTAGGATTTATTTTTGGCCTCCTCGATTAATGTCACTGCCACAAAAAATAGTTACCGGACGAATGATATATTTAGAAATGAGAAATTACATACAGCATGCTAATGTGAACATATTTTTACTATTTTACCAAATTAAATGGTTTCCAGACGATTACTTTTGACAAACTAACGCATAATAATCATTTGTAGTACTAAGACCAAATATCCTAGATTGTAGGTCAAGTTGGTATTTGGTTTTTGACCACTAATTTTACTCATAGTTGCGGTTCCTTCTTGTCTTTTTGAAAAAGTAAAATATTTTTTTTAAGCTCACCTTAGTATATTCTCAATCTCTTAGTGATCAAGACTGCCGCCAAAGCTAAAAATAGAAAAGCCTTAAAACGATATTTCTTCAATAACTGTTTGGTAGAATTAGGTGAAACTTTACAGAAATAATTCTTAGATTGGCCTTCATAAATATTGCTCAAATGCTTCCGGTTTTCTTTTAACAACATGGTTGCCGGTGCTAAAAATAGAAAAAAAAGTGGAAAGTGACACCATATCCTTAATTGATAAATAGAATGTGATGAAACTCTACAGAAATAACAAAATGGCCGTCAGAGCTAAAAATAAAAAAGACTTTAAATGACATATCAATAACTTTTGGGTAGACTTTGATAAAACCATACAGGAGTGATCCTTAGATGGACCTTGACATAAAACTTGCACATATTTTCCGGTCTGTTAAGCAAGATCGCCACCAGTGCTTATAAGAAAAGAAAGTGTTCAATCCACATCTGAATTGTTTATGAAATGATCATTGGACAGTACTTTACTAATATTGCTAAAATTGTTTTGGTCTAAAGAACAAGCTAAAATAGAAAAAATACTCCTTAATTAGTTCGTTAATTTCCATAAATACACTGCAAGAATTATCCTTGTATAGTTTTCTATAAAATTGCTCAAATGGTCGGCCGAGCAAATTTACCTCCATGCTTGAAATTTAGAAACCTTTAATAGGCACTTCATTCTTTATTTTTGGGTAAATTTTGATGAACTAAATAAGGATTGCCCATGGGTAGTCGACTATAGTAATTGCTCAAATGGTTCCGGTCTTCTTAAAGAGATTACCAAGCTAAAATTGAAAAGGAAAATTATAAGTCAATCATCTATAAGGTACCATATAGCTATTTTATCATAATTCTTAGTCATGGAAAGTGCTAAAATTGTACCAGCTAAATAAAATGACTGCTAGATCTAGAAATAGAATTAAAAGTTAACCGCATCTTCACATTGACTATCGGGTAAATTTTGATGAAACTGTACAGGAACGATCTTTGTATAGTTTTCCATAATGATTGCTTAAAAGGTTCCGATCTCTTGACTAAAATAGCTGCCAGAGTTAAAATTAATAAAACTCTTTTAAACAACATCTCCTTAAAACTATTTGGTCGATTTTTATGACACTATGTAAATGGTCTTTGGGTGGCCCTCTAAAAAATTGCTCAAATGGTTCCGATTTCCAGAAGAAGATTGCCACTAGAGCTAAAAATGAAAACTTCACCATTTAAAAGATTTGTACAGTGTAGAATCAGTTACGCCAAAATTATATGAAAGGTATCAATTCAACAATTTTTTCCTTTTAATGCACCAACCCCTTCACACTGTCAAAATAATCATGTATATTTGAACTATCTAATTAGATGAGCAATTAAGGGCCTTAATTACTCTCTTGTTTCTTATCATAACTTTTAATTAGACAATAGATTGTAATAATGTTTTATACATAAATGTTAAATGATCATATACAGGTTTAATGCAAATTCTGAAGGGCCCAAGAAGGGCGGCATATTAAAATCGTACCGTCCGTCTGTATGTGAGTCCCCACTTACACAACATTCGTTTTCGGAATTAACTTTGTCATGCATTGAAGAATTTTAAGTTTACTCAAGAAAAACGTCTACTGCATCGTGATTGTGTGTTGCATCTTAGGCCCATGTCCCTAACTCAAAGGTCAAAGTTACACTTACAGTTTAAATGTTTACATTATTACAACTAGAGTTTTGAGGTACACGCATTTGTGTCTGGACTGTAATTTTTATGCATTGAAATTGTCTGCCACATCAAAACGACGTTCACGTCTTCTAAGGCCCATTTAAATTTCTAAAAGGTCATGGTCTCAATTAAGGTTGAATGTTATTATTTTTGTCCAGACTGTGGCTTTGTCATCCGTTAAAAGATGTTATAAAATATATTGTTCATATTTCAAAGGGCCATACCTTGGATGGACCAGTGTTGGGCGTCACAAGGTCAAGGTCACCTGTGCTAACAATAGATTTTTCACACTTTTCTTTTACACCTTTTGTTTGTTTTCATACTAATGTTTCATATTGAGATGGAATATACCAAAGTTGATCCTTTAAGTATTGGTGGAGTTTGATTTTCAATCAAACAAAGCTTGCAATTTTGATATGATTCTGTTGTGATCAATGCTTCCAAGGGACTCGTCTTCCAGAAAGTGTATCAAATAACAATAACATGTCAACTTATTACAATAACAAAACAAAACATCATGACGCTATCAAGTTATATAGCTGCGTTTACATTTTTTACAAATTTGTTGTGCATAACTCTGTGAATGATTAAACCTCTTTTGAAACATTGTTACTGACAAGAATCTGGGGCGGGAAATTTGTGATTCCCTTTTTTATCTCATTTTTTACAAATATAAGGTTTTAGATGATAATACTAACCAGGCAATCGATTGTAATGATTATTGGTACACAGATGGAACATCATACAATATAGACCAAGTTCATATTTTTCCCACCTATTTTTCGAAATGTCATTGTGGCAGGTCAGTCTCACGAATCATTTTTAGTGATACATCTAGTTTTCCATATGTCCTAAAACTTTAGGTGAAGTTTGGGGTCAAGGTCAAGGTAAGTGGATTAAAAAAGAACATAGATACATTTTTAAACAGTCCTGTATTTATAAACTGGTATCCTTCATGTCTTACAGGGACATGCCTAGGCTGGTTCTCTTCCTACGATTATAGTTAGGGGTCATTTAGATTAAGGTCAAGGTCACCAAAACCAAAAAAAAAAAAAAAGATTTTATTTTATTCAGCCATTTTTAAAGTTCTTTCATATTTGGAAAGAAAAAAATGCAAGATGATCCTTAAATTTTGGGTGGAGTTTAGGTGTCACTTGGTTGAATGTTTATGAATTGCATTTGATTATATGTCAATAATTCTTATCAGTAAACTGAATTATTTTCAGCTTCATTAAATGTAATTTTACAAGAACAAAAGGTCATGACTCTGCAAAGTTTTTTTTAACTGTGATTACATTTTTAGCAAATTTTCTCCGTTACTATCTGTTGGTACCTCGGTCGGGAGCATTTGTGTTTAACAAACACGTTCTTGTTTTATACACGATCTAATACTTCTTATTCAAATCTTTTGAAATGTTGGTATAATGCCATAAAGGCAACTTAAGCATAAGAAAGAAATGAATATGAATATTCGTATACAGATAAACCACATCAGTTTAGAAATGTGTAGATAATAGGTTTAATGAATGTCCAAACATTGTCATGTGAATGAAATAGCATTTGATGGTTAAAATGAAGTAAAACCTTTTAAAACGTAAAAAAAACTATTTTAGTCTTTCATACAAATATTTAATGACTAAAACATTACTAACACACAAACTGCAAAAGACGAAAGATAGTTGACCTATATAGTCAATAATTAAGGTTTCAAAAATTGTAATAAGACAACAAGGTTTTCCAGAAATAAAATGATACCCTTTTGAAGTCTTAGGTATGGGTTTATAACAATTTAGCTTACCATGCAGTGATACCCTGAGCAGTTAGGAAAGTTGGTTGTTCGTTGTTTCTTTGAAAAAACCAGCTCTTCTGAAACTTCGAGGCAAATTTTCGCAATTTGGTAAATATGTCTTGGAAAAAAGCTTTTTAAAATTGTTCTAATGTAGCTCGAAATGTATTTCACTGTGCATTGTTTAAAACATCTTCTCCGGAATCGCATTGCCTTGAAATTAGGTAATTAACAAACACATTATGTAGTGGATTTTACCATGGTCAAATTATGTAGTCTAAAGTTTAAACAATGGAATGCCACGAATACAAAAGATACGTTATTGAACATTAGAAGCTTGTTACTCTTTATGCATATAAAAACATATGTTATTTCGTTTGACAGAACCTGGCGGGCAATCGACACCTGGTGATCAAGATAGAGACAATAAAGATTTAGTTAGAATTGATTCCTTAGAAGCTAAAGTAACAAGTATTGCATCCCTCTTGAAAATAAAAGATGTGATCAGTACAGACGTTACTCAAGCAACTGAAAAATCTGGACTTTTAGACCAAATTGAAACAAACCTGACGACTCTTTCTCTTCAAGTTCAAGATTTAAAGAAAAGTGATACCGACAAACATTTGTTAGGGACGATTGTGAAGAAAACATTATCCTCTGAAAAACGGATCCGGAAAAAGTTTGTGACGGTATTGAAAGGTGCAGTTGAAAACATCAACAATTCTGTTAGTGAAATGAGGACTGAAACAGAAAGCCGAATGGAAAAATATAATAAAACGTTCGTTAAAAGATGTGACAAGTCTATTGAGACGATGAAAGAAGTGACAGTGAACATCAACAAAACAATGTATGAAGAAATTAACATCATAACCGAGTCTTTACATGATCTAACGGAAGAATTGTCTGACGCAAATAAAAAAGGTAATTTTATTCGATGTTTCCAAACCTAAAAAACCAAAACAAAAAACGAATAGTTCTTTCTAAACTATTCTTGGCCCTTTTGTTCATATTAAATTAGATATAAAATAAATACTTAAACGTTTCGAATATTTCCCCAAATCTATATCCTGATTTTTGTGTTGTGTAACAAAATCTCATTGTAAGTGATAAAGCAATTGGTTTATAATTTTTTTACAAAAAATTAATATAATGTTAACCAAATGTACTGTGCTTTAGTCTTGTTCTTTTTATACTTTCCCTGAAGAATTCCGCAGATTTATTGGTTATGTAGAATTGTTTTTGTCACAGATTGAATAAATTATGGTTGTATAATATACGCAACACATTTAAGTGTATATCACATTGGTAAACAAACTTTATCTCATTATGATGTTGCGTCTAAAAATCAATAAAATAAAATAAAACGTATATACAAATGTTAGTATTTTCGCGTGTCGGTAATGGTAGTTTTTCAAATAAGATTATTGTCCAGGGAGCGTTATTTTACATTTAATTCGGTGCATTTTATTTATGTTCAGAAATAATCATTTTCATGAAACATGGCGAATTTGTTGTACCTTGTGTGGTTGCACTTTTTTCACAAAGCAAGTTAATCAAAAACCTATGGCTGTACATTATTCATTGTATAATGATAAACTGCGCAAAACACTATATTTTCCAATTCAAATTACCCCTCATTCGTTAATATACATTATAGGATATAGAGTGAACGATCTTTTGCATATCTTTTCGTGGTAAAGGCTTTAATTTCAAACCTACATGTCAGTGGTTTTACTCAGATGCCCGCTCGTGAGTAGTTGAAATAATTCACGGAGGAGGGTCCGGGGGTTTCTTTCAACAGTGAAGCTGGAAAGTCGCCATATGACCTCTACTGTGTTGGTACGGCACAAAACGCACCACGCTATTCCATTAAAAATAATCAAATGTACATTAGACGTAATGGATACAGTACGAGTTTTTCTTTAAAAGTGTCTTCTTACACACTTAAGAAGACAGTTTGCTAGGCTAAACAACAAATTGTCCGAGGCGAAGCCGAGGATAGATTGTTGTTCGTCCTAACGAACTGTCTTCTTACGTTTGTGAGAAGACACTTTTGAAGAAAATACGAGTAACTGAACCTGACTTATACGACGTTTAAGTCTAAAGAAAAGATAATTTAATAAACACATTTAATTATAAATAATTCTAATTGAAATAAAAATGTATGGTGTTGTAAAATATAAAACTATTGGAAATATTTGCATGGCCTTAAAGCTGTGAGCAGTGAAATTTATTCGCACGGAATTTTCGTGCACTTATTTCAATCGGACAGAATTCACTTTCATTTATGATAAATAATGTTAAAATAGCTGCCTTCATCAGATAAATCAATTATGTCATTCAACATTGAAACCGTCTCTGAACATGTTTTACGTCAATGTTATATGGATAATTTTTTTGACCCAAAATTTTGTAAGTGTCCTTATTCACAAGCTCAGCTTGCCATATGCTGTATATGGCCGTTGATATTTTTGTTGATTTGGGGCCCTGGGACCAGTAAAGGTCATGTTGATGTTGTTGTTTTTTATAGAATGTCAAGCGATATGCAAAAAAGATAGCGTTCATCATCCAATGAGCAACTGTTAGTTTCGTCAATGCTAAAATTAACTGTAACTATGTTCCTATGTTCCTAGAAATGGCCATCCATTTTATTTGATTCATTTCTCGACGAACTGAATTTACTTTCAAGTTCGCTACAACATTCTGACGGTTTCTATGGTGTCCTTTTTGAGGTAGTTAAAGTATCGCCTGTTGCGATTTAAGATTGCCTAAATCTCTTGTTTACGCTCGACTATTAAAAAAATAGGGAGAGCTATTGTAATTGTGAATTTTTACAGAACCATGGTCCCTTTGAACTTTGAAAATATCTACATTATTTAGGCTCTAATTTTATTATCAAGCACTGAGAATAGTCGAGCGCACTGGCTCTTCTTAATAGACAGCGAGATATGTAATTTTCTAAGTTTGAATGCAATGAATTAGTAGAAAATTAATTTCCCTTCGTCCGATTTATATTTCCGATAGGTGTCGCCAGTATTATGATGCACGAAGTTTACGTGCTTGAATAAGTAAGTGTATATCGCTCATTCAGCTTTGGGCAGCCGGCTATACACAAACGTATTTTCTTTTTTCGTCTGCTTGTGTAATTATGAGCGAAGAACAGCCACGTGGTGGTGGTGCAGAACTAGAATCGCAATTACAGCAAGTTCTTGTTGAATTACGTCAACAGAGACAAGAAGTTTCAGCTCTAAGAGAAGAATTTCAAGGAAGTAACTACAACGTTAGTTCTGAGGTGAAAAAGTTAAAGACTGCTAAAAACATAACGTGGAAATTTCAAGGAAATAAGGTACAATTTGAATTTAACACCGAGTTGGAAGAGGTTTCCAAACAAGCTGTATGGGCTTTAGAGCATAGTAAAGACGATTATTGTATGGACTTATTGAAAGAAATTGCAACCAAACTTCGTAAACGTAATAAACTTATACGTATAGCACATTCGTCACCTGGCGGTTGGGAGACTGTAAGATTGTACGAAGCTTACCCGATAGCTAGCGACAGTGAGGATGAAGCTAAGTTTTACAAGCCCGAAAATAGAGCTCTCAAGCGGAAGCGCACGTTATCCAAGAGTAAGCCTCTGTCTGCGACTGTTAGTCGTGTCAACAAACCTACTGTTATGCCTTCATTTCCTGCCTTTCAAAACAGACATATGCTGCAGCAACCATCTCCAGTCAAATCTTTTTGAGGTTACCAAGGAGCATCAGGCGGTCCGTTCTTCGGTACAAATTCCATTGCAACAGGATAATGTTTTGCCTGTGGAGACTTCCTTCATTTTCGGAAAGATTGTCCCAATGTTGTCAAAGCAGGAAGTGGAAGTGGAGAACAGTTCAACGCCAAAAAGTAATTCAGATATGAAAGATGAGTATAATTTTGACTACGAACGTTTTACCAATGATTACTATGAATACGAACAAGGTAAAAATGATAAAATTTGATCTTACTAGTGCGTATCACTTTGTTGAAATTTTCAAGCCACATACTGAGTTTTTAGGTTTTTCTTGGAGAGATTCTTCTAGTAATATTTCATATTATAAATTTTTGGTTCTGCCTTTTGGTCTTTCTTCAGCTCGTTATGATTTTATAAAACTGAAACAGCCGCTTATCTCAAAGTGGAGGGGTAAAGGCAAGTTTGTTACTATGTTTTTGGATGATTGTTTTTGTTCTAACCATTCATTAAAGTTGGGGCGGAAATAAAGCATGATTTATTGTCTTCCGGGTTTAAAACCTAATGCCCGATAAGTCGGTTGGGCCCGGTTTTTAAAATTTTGGGATTTTAAGGGGATTTTTTTAAAATTTTAGTGACGGGGAGGATTTTTGTAAACCCTTTAAAAAAAAGCTCAAGGTTTAAAAAAAACAATAGCCCATATTTTTTCGTCGCTTAAATACACAGACCCCCTAAGCGTGAGAAAAATTTGCCCGCTTAGATGGGCAAATTTTTTCAAAAGTCAATCGTGTTGGTCAGTGGAAATCAAAAAAGACACGTTTTTTAAATATTTATATATAAAGGCGTTTTAAATTGGGATTCGAATTTTTCTTTTCAGAGGAAAAATTTTTTCTTAGATTTATTTTTGGGAAAAAAGCATTTGGAATGTATAAATGGTTAAAATATTAATGAATCACACAAATTTACGAAAATTGTATATTCTGATGCAAGTAGTACTGGCTAGCTTGGTACATGTATATTGTAACAACGGCAGATGGTGTTTCTCATGGTATTTGGTCTGTAGAGGAATCTGAATCTGAAGTCCTCTTCATGGCGCGAACTTGTCGCAGTCAATAGGGTTCTTAAATCAATGGTACATTTGCTTGCAAACCAGAGAGTAAAATGGTTTACAGACAATCAGGGCGTAGTTTCTATAGTTTCTAAAGGTTCTATGAAATCAGATCTTCAATCTTTTGCAATGTCTATATATAAAAAATTTTCATTTATTTAAAATTTTGTTGCTTTGGATAAACGGAAAAAATGCCCCGTTATGAAAAATGAGGAAAGCTGAAATTCCCTTTTTTAGAAATTTTTTGACTATGATGAAATGGGGGATTTTATCATCCCCTTGGCTTTCTCCCCAAAAATAATATGGTATTTTTGAAGTAGATTGGTTTGCTTCGGAGCATAATGCTAAAATTTCTAAATGTTATTCTCGTTTCTGGAATCCTTCGTCTTATGGCATTGATGCTTTCACAGCATTTTGGGGTGATAGTTTTGGCCTGTTTGTGCCACCAATAAGTATCATTCGCATAGTTTTAAGAAAAATGTCTGTTGATAAGGCAAAGGGTGTATAAGTTGTACCTTTATGGAAGTCAGCGCCTTTTTGGCCTCTTCTTTGTCCGCATGGACAGTTTTTAAAAGCGATTATTAATTGGATAGATTTGCCAGTGGGTAAAGAACATTATGTAAGCTGTAAAAATGGGAAAGGAATTTTTGGAAATATGAATCTTAAATTTCGAATGTTAGCAATGTGTTGAATTTACACATTTATTGTGAGATTACACATGTATATAGGCGGGATCGCCAACAATCAGTATTGATAGCCGATCTGGTATCAGACGGCCGTTTTTGACATGCGGTATCGCTAGTCTAGTGTTTATGTAAATACATGTATTCGTTTATAGACTGTTGTATTTAGATGCACCTGGCACGTGCACCTGGCACTAGTCGGAAGTATGAGAATGGATTAAATCGATGGAGAAAGTGGGCTATTAGTAACGGTTTGGGGAGTCGGGATATTTTACCTGCAAGTGCATTTCCGGTTGCACTGTATCTAACATCTTTAAGTCAGTCTGCAAATAGTGCAAGTCCAGTGATTAGTGCTTATTATTCTTTAAAATGGATTCATGATATTAATGGTGTGCGTTCTCCAACCAGT